CCCCCCCCCCCCTCAATTATCTAACGGTCCATCCCTAATACCTTCATACGTTAATGTTTATTCGGGTAAAATGTCAATGTATTTTATTATACACGAAACCGAATAAAAAAGTCTGTCTGTCTGTCCCTAAGCGCGGATATCATTTCAAGTCAAGGAAGACCGAAAACTAAGAATTATCAAGACATCAATATAAAAACAAAATCTGAAACAAAAAAGGCAGCTTCTTCAAAACACGAGGGTTCAAGAAGGTCAGTACTTGGAGGAACAGTTGAGATATCGAGCACTGCAGACAAAGCGCATTGTTTGTCATCCCTTATTGAAACAGCGTGGATCAGAGTCAGGTTTTATTGGCTGCTTTTGCTTTTCTTCATTTACCATAACAAATACAAGCCGTCGTAAATCTTCAGACATTTCATTTATATACATAGGATAATGTTTGTATTTAGTATGGATAGCGTGGTGGACTCACGTTCGCTGACTTAACTCTAAAATCCGTACCGGCTGACGGCTGACTAAACAGTGGGGAAGACAGAAAAAGGCTCCAAAAATCTGTGTAAGTTCTTTTTTTTTTTTTTTTTTTTTTTTTTTTTTTTTTTTTTTTTTCGAATGCGATGCATCTTTGAGTGTGTAATAGAATTTACTAATTAATAGATAATCGAACAAATAAGAATCTTAACAAATGAATAAATCATGGATGGATGGATGGATGGATGGATGGATGGATGGATGGATGGATGGATGGATGGATGGATGGGCAAATGAATTGATGCTTAATCATTATAATGAATGAATGAACGACATGATAATGAATCTTCTCAGTTTGCCTTAAATTTCTTTACTATTTCTTTATGTTTGATATGATTGACATGAAAAAATCTAGAATTAGATGACTTGTTCATCAAATGATTTTAGACGCGCTCTTACGTAAAGACGGATAAGCTGCTTTTGCTTGGGGACTTTAAGTGAACTTTTACTAGACTATGATAACAAACCTTTCCAGCTTGAGCGCAATAGAATGTTTTCAAATTTCATACCACGTGTCATGATCTTCTGAGTTGTATCCATATTTATGTGTCTTTTCGTGCACAACCATAAAAAATAATACTCTAGTGAATGACACGTGGCTCAAAATGGGAAAACATTACGCGCAAGCCGAAAATGTCTATCATCGACCTCTCATACAAAATACCGATTCATTCGTATGGAGTATAAAATCAGAGCCATACCGTTTTCACATCAACATACCTTCTCAGTGGGACAGACAGTGTGGAATTTTAAAGAAAATCGAAAAGACCTCATATTATGTATGTCGAGTTCCTAGAGTAATTAAAGATCTTCCACAATAATGCCGCATGGCTAAAAGATGGTTCTTGGAGTGATGGCTTGACTTAAACACAGTTTTAAACCACAATCACTTTTTACTTTACATGTTAATATATTATACGACACCTAGAGATCTTGAAACATAAAAATCGTAGCGATTTTCCACGGACAATGTAATGGCGTGATCATTGATCACGAGTGATCATTGGACTTCATTTTACTTACGAACACATTTTGTCACTGCAGCTCCTTCACCCCCTTCACCCCTTACACCAACGTGTTATGACAAGCCGAAAGAGATTATCAAAAGAAAATAGAAAACCTTCATCTACAAATTACTCTTAAGCGCCATTTATTCTGAAACGCGAAGTTGATCCGTCGCTCTAAAAAAAACTTTATGACTAATGGTGGATAAGAAATACTTAAGCAAGATTTGATAGGGAATTAGAGTATTAGCTGAGATCCGAAGCTTGTGCCACAATCTGACAGAATCGGTAAAACATGAAGTAGGGTGACGCCAGATGACAAACCTCTGCAATCGTCTTATGTTGTGATTGTTTCAACGCAAATTCAAGATTACGTAAAACTGTCAAATTAATTCCATAAATTGTGAATTAAATTACACTCATTTTGCCGTTCAGATGTAAGGATTTTTGTTTTGAGAATTTAGCGATAATATTTACATAACGGGAAGTGTTTTCAGGCTCCAATGGCCAGTAATCTAGGGCAGCCAGCAGCCGAAAATGGAAGCGCATCATAGCAAGTTATTGCGCCTGATCAGTACTCTGTTCCAATGCATTCAGATTGCAAACACCGATGACAAACTCGTCCAATGGATAGTCGAAATATTCGTTCCCACCTAATCTTTATCTTTCCTCGCATTCAACATGTCTCTCTATACTTTGTATGATTAAATCCAATATGTGGATTAAAGAGCTCTTTTCTGATAGGCCCTTTCTCACTGACCACTTTATTGCTCTTCCTAATCTGCCCTCGTTCCCACTCCACTTTCTTTCTATTTCTAGTGTACGAGAGTGTAGGGGGGAAACGTTGTTTGGCCCTATCTTGCCCTCAGCTAATCTCCCTTTTCTTCCCTTACTCACCTCTTGAGTAACGAATGGTGTACGTATGATGAAATCAAGTAGCTGAATATCAATTTTCTGACACAGGCATTATGCTAATCAATCAGTAATTCTCAAGCCATCGCTAACGACGACATTATTATCGATAAACTGGGACTGAGCATACTAAAGCTTAGAATACTACATTATCTTATTCATCAACGCACACAGCTATTAGTATTACGTGTATTACGTGTATTATACAAGTATTACGTGGCTTAGACAAAGAATAGGTCTCAACTATTTCAGATAAAGATCAAGTTAATAGAATCAAGACTGTAAAAAGAACTGATTCTGGTTCAAAAGTCAAAGTTCCTATACTGTTTTTTCTTTCAAAGGGACCCTTCTAAAAATTGTCTTGAATGCGAGGCTAACATGAAAATACAAAAGAAATGCAACACATTCCATCGTGAAAAAGTGTGATTTCTTTTATATTTTTGTGTTAACCTCGAAACCATGATACTTTTAAGACGAGTCCATTAAGTACTCAAACTCCGATAAGCGCAAAATCGTTTATAAATGAATTTCTGTACAGCCTTAGGGTTTTTTATATACACTTAGTGTCTCATCGCTTCATTGTTTTGTACACTTTATGATAAACGATTCCTAGGCTTTTTTATAATTGACCGATATTAACGACGCTTTGCAACATCGTTGTCATCTTTTTCTTAACAGGGTATAAGCAGGGTATAGAGATATTTTATTGGCTCGTTCTGCAGGGCTTCACGAACATATTTTAGAATTTTATTTTAAATGCTAAGAGCCCATTAGATACTTGCCATAACTGTCTAAATGGATAAAACTATATAGATTCATTCATGCGATTTGCCAACATCAGAAGCTTAGGATTAATTGAGTAGCCTATTACTATATAGCTGGTGATAAAAATCTGCCTGGATTTTGCTAATTACTTTGTAATACTGAAACTGTTGCTCTTACAGCTGAAGAACAGAGTAATCAAATAATGAATATAAGAAATTGTATTTAACACCTACACAAGAATTACTAAATCACAAGTCCGCCGATAATGAAGGGAGTCTAAATGAATAGCGCAGTTCGTCAGTTGGCTTTCCTTAATGGAAAAAATATATTTGTTAGCACTTCAGGGTATTTTTCGATCTCGTTTGATCAGGGTATACATCGGCTTAAGGTTTTGTGGGTATACTTGAACATTATCTGGAAGGCCGATTACAATCCTTCTGGAAGTAGAAAAAAAGGCGTCTTAGTTCAAAGTAAGCAATCTTTCTTTGTTAGTCAAGAGGTTGATCAGATAGTGAGATATACACGTCGCCCTGTCAGATAAGGAACTGAGAAAATGCTCACGATGTAGGTTATGCTAATAATGGGATGATATTCAATATTAAACTGGAGCAAGTTTTAGGCTCCTCATTAGACGAGAAAGGAACAGAAGACACCACTAAAAAGCGACAACAGGTACGACTCATTCGCATCACAATTAAGTCCAAGACAGAATTAAGGCATATGTTGAATTACAGCAGGTCAGGAGAATTCTGTACTTTTTTTTCCTTTTTTTATTTTTTATTTTATTTTTTTTAGAATTCTGTACTTTGTAATTGAGATTCAGGTACATTGCAGCGGTGCGTTGATCGATATGTCGCATTAATTGACCTTCAGTTCTTAGAAACATTGTTACCACAGAAACAACGCACTTCGACTTTAGAAACGACATCATGATTTTTTAAATACAATAGTCCTGTACGTCTTCAGTTTTGTCTACCTACCAACAGAGATAGAGATATTTCATACGTGACAAATTCAAGTAAATTATCGATTTTTATCAGCTGTTAACTGGGAAAACAGGCAATATATTTTACCTAGGAACTGTAAGGAGTGGTTGCCCAATCCTTCAGCATTCTCCCGAGCCAGGTGCTCGTGTTAAAGCCGGTTCGGAGGTGCGCCTTTTACTCCCTTAAAGATATAACTTCGTTTGTTTTATGGCTCTTAGCACTTGTACTTCCTTGTTCTAGTTTATAAACGTTATTCGTTATGTTTGTTCGAATTGTTTTCAACATCTCTAAGAATAACACACTCATTATGAATTGTATAAGATAAGTCTTAGTCACAACAAAACCATGTAAAGCTAAATAATCTGATTATTCAACCCATCTATCAGTATATTTTTGTTAATTAATGGTGACTTCCTACTTGACTAAACAAAATACAAAGTAATGATTGATATAATTAGCTTAGTCAGTTGGCATCCCATACCTACCATCGCGCAAAGATATTGAATTCACCTTATCGGTGCTAGCTTTGATTGTGCGGGCAAGAGTACCCCCGGGACATTTTGTACGGAAATTCGAGAACGATGTCCGAACTTTTTGGTGACCGTAACACAATCTAAAACAATTTATACCCCGTGACGGCTAGCGCCGGAATGGTGAATTGACTTGTGTCTTGATATTGGTAAACATATTAGCCTCTGACATTGTGGTGGACACAAAACAGTAAAAGTCTACCTACAGATAAGGTATCCAGATGCGTCTGACCCCGAGTCCATATTTTTTACCACGGTCCATATGTTCTACGTCCGGTCCATGTTTTCTCGGGTCCAGTCCAGTCCATGTTTTAGACCATGCCAAATATTAATTGAATTTCAAGATATTTGACTCGAGCCTTCTGTATTTCCTGATTACTTCAACTTGGATTTAGCACTTAGACTACTTGTCTCAGCATGCTTAGTGTTGAATAACATTGTTACAGACACAAAATGATCAACCAAGAACTCTTATATGCTCAGGTTTCAGCGATCATCCATTGATAAAAGATGGAATGTGTTTGTTGTTGTTGTTTTTTTTTTGTCTGTTTGTTTGTTTCTCAATGAATCCATTATTGGGATCCCATTATTGAAAGGATGAGATTCAATGATCAGAGAAGTGAGTAAGTTTTTTGTATTTTTTTTTTTTTTTTAATTAAATTGTAACATGAACACTTCACAATCGACATATGTATTGAGTTGTTTTTTTTTTTTYTACTTTAGATAATAGCCTAGTTAGTTCGGGTTCAAAGGATCAAAACAACTTGAATTCTTGTTCATTTTCTTACTAATGTTCAACAACAACCTTATGCAGAGGCTTGTATGGTTTCACTAGATACAGACACGTTTACATTTGAAGAACCTAAGTCTTAGAGCTTGACTCTTTTTAGAGTCACCCTGTGGTATCCCATCAAAACAATTATACAAACGTTGTTAAACGGGATCTGGATAGACTCTCTTTACAAGTAACTAAAGAGACAACATAGGCACTCAGACGAAGCCACGGGTAAATATGGCTCAGCATATTTAAGCCAAAGGCAGTTGTGTAGGTGGCTTCGCTTGCTATATACTGCCTGGATAGAGAGTGAGCTCTGCAAGGTGAGCAAACATTCATACGTGTTATTGTTTTTTTCCCCTTATTGATTTGGCTACATGTAAAAATGTTCGATTTTGCGATTTTTTTAATCATGTTTAAAGACTACTGCAATAGGATTCTTAATTTTATCACAAAACAATAGCTTCAAGTCGAGGTTGACTTGATGATACAGTAAACGTATAAAAACACATCATCTTCTTGGTCACTCAACCTAATTCGGGAAATATCCATTCCCCCTTGCTCAACGTGTGAATATATTAAGCGTCTAGTAATCTAGTGTTCCAGGATATAGTAACTTAATGTAACTAACGCGATCGAACATGATAGCTACCTAGAGTTTAGGTGATATTCAAGAATAAACAGCAAGTTTATAACTTTCATCTATTCCAGACTATTCAATACACTTCACAATCCAGACTCGAGCAAAATTGAACGATTGCATCTAGTCGAAATCTTTGATTAGATTCTATTGGCTAAATCAATGGAACACAATTGAATCTTCACAACAAAATAGTGCCCAACGAAGATAATCAGAACGTTTATGGTATCAAACATAAAGGAAGTTTTTATTGCCATTTGAATGCTGATCAGTTTGTTGCTCTTCAATCTTTGATCTTCGCGATTGTTTTTCCTTTTTTTTTTTTTTTTTTTTAATTGTTTGATTTTTTCCCTTTTTTTGGGATCGAATTCAATCGAATCCTTAGTGTTTTCTGAGTTCAATTTCATTTGATTCCCGAATCAATCTGATAGAATTCGATTCCGAATGTTCGATTAACTACACCTGGTTTTTTACAGAAACACAGCGGTGAAGAACTTCAAAAACATTTGTTTCAACCGATTTAAACAAGACGGTACCGGGAGTTAAGCATCGATTAGTGCTGGATTCAATGTGGGGACTCCCTTGTAAGGTATGTTTTAACGAAGAGTGTACAGCCTTCTTTTAACATATTGTAAACTTGATTGTAAAGCTGATGTCTTCAGGTGGTATATCTAGAGGTCAGTTTACTAAAGTTTATCAAATGAGGTCATTAAGTGTTTTATATTCCAGCGCCTTATTGAAAAAAACAACAACTTTTCATTTAAAAAATAAAGAATCGTATCGCTATAAGATGTCAAATATGACGCCTAAGGTTTAGTCTAGTAGTTTTTCTATAGGATAAAATTTTGAAGGACATCAGCCATACGTTAATATGAGTAAAAGATTTGGTTCAGAATTTGACAGTTTTTGAAAGTGATAATTGTTAATCTGTGATTTTTTTTAGAGCGACTTATTAGGCTCAGGCACACGCAGGCAACGGGTAATGTTTGCAGATTTTCTTATTTTCTGTAGACAAAAATAACTACATTAAAAACGGGAGTAAAAACTAATTAAATGAACCAATTTACGTATTCTAAGTAGTTCAGAATAATATAATAAAGTAGTTGTCAATTCGCAAGTAGAACTTCGTGCGTCACTTCGATAATAAACACCTCGATTCCAAGGATTCTTATCACGCTAATTCCAGCTTAAAATATCACTTCAGTATAAGAGTAGCAGTGAAGAACTTAGGACCAAGTGTTTTCCGAATACGTCGGCCAGAATTTGCTTTTAGCTAACTAAAAACAACACAGCCTTAGCTGTAAAGACATAATGGATGGATAAAGTGTGACTTACACTTGGTTTTTTGGCAGGAGTGACTCTTCCTTGTCCAGTGCCATTTTGAGGCATCTCCGGTAGACCAGCTTTTGATTTGATCTGAAATGCATGGGTTTAGGCGATAACTAGCCATAATTGCTAATATCAAAAAATATAAGACGTCGTCCGTAGTCTATTACTGAGGGTATGAACGTTTACTGAATTTGAAGTTGGAGCTTCAGAGAGAAGGTGAATATTATTCTTTTTTATTACGTTTAGAATATTAGATAAAGAGAGGGTTTGTAAACCTCTTTCTCCTCCTCCTCCTCCTCCTCCTTCTTCTTCTTCTTCTTCTTCTTTTTCTTCTTCTTCTTCTTCTTCTTAGGGTTTCTTTGGGGGGAGGGGGGTTAAGAAGCAAGGCCACATAGATATAATTTCTTCTTCACCTCACCCCAAGTAAACACCATGCTTTTTATTTGAGTCAGCTGATTTTTCTTTTTTAATCTAGACCCCCAGACAGATTACTTAGTCATTGAAAAAGGCCAAATTTAAAATGTTTGCAATGCTTTAAATGCTTTCCATTAAACTTAACTTGGATACTAATCTTGCAGTGTCATATAATATCTTACTTTCTGCCATAATAATGGTAATGACAGAGACATCCTATAGAATTGGCCAATAGCCTGAAAGAAGGTATTGTTTTCTTTTAGGTCCATAAAAACTGCCTTTTGCTGAAGTGGATATATCTTGTCCATTACCACCTTATTCTTTATTCACGATTATATTGCTAGATTATATTAATACATATTCTGCTTTTTAAAGTGGAAGATAAAACAAGAATAAGCTAAAGACCTTAGGTGATGGTTATATAATGATAGAGTACGCAATACAAAAATGTTCGGGTCATCTTTGCTTTGTTGCTTTGAGATTCATTTTGAGAGAAAGAAAAATAAATTTTTACCATGAGAGCCATTAATGTTAAGTGCCACGATTTCAGTGCCAGATCAATTTACAAATTCTTTTTTTCTTTGAGCGTTCAATGTCTTGTGATCCTTTGTTGGTGGTGGTTGTAGTAGGCTGTATTTATTCTCACGGTTTACAGCTCAAGTGCATCTCTTGAATATTATTATTTCGGTGCTCTTTATTTGGGAGCAATTAGTGCTTTCCCAGATCTGATAATATGTCACTCCCAAAATTATTTGTATTTATTTGTTTTTATCAGTAGTACTTGAATCTCTTTTAAAACATAGCCACGTGAGCGTGTATTTAAAAATCGATGGTGAACGTTGACGCGATTGAGTAGCCCGCGCTATGCAATAAAGATTTCGTCAAAAAAAAGAAATTAATTTTTTCTCTATAAACAAAGATTTAGTTATAACCTCCCGCGTGCACCCAAAACTCGATGGTGCACCCAAAACTTAATCCTTTATGCGATATGCCCTCAGTGAAATATATAGGCAACAAAGGTATTCAACACACTTTCATCCATGGTTTGTTTTTGTCTCCAGGATTTAGTCCATTACAGATACCAAATATCACCATGGTAAACAACGCTTCAAAAAACATGTCGAGGCATGAAGATTCTCCAAATCCACGCATCCATTTTTTTCTTCTTTTTGCAATCTTGCTTACAATAATTACCATTGCGAACAACTCGCTTGTAGTCCTGGCCTACAAAGTCAATAAACGCCTTCGAAATAGAGCGATTCTTATCCTCGTCAGTCTTGCGCTATCGGATTTTCTTGTTGGTGCTATTTCCATGCCTCTTTGGATCTACATGACCACGTCACATGACCGAATGCCTCTTGGATTGTATTTATTTTACATGAGTTTTGACATCTTTAGTGCCTTTGCGTCCATATTGCATCTCACGTGGGTCAGTATGGAACGCTTTCTGGCCATCGCGTACCCCCTGCGTCATCGTAAGTTTGGCGACAAGGGGTATCTAGGAATGTTATTGAGCCTGTGGCTTGTGTCTGGACTAGTTGCTGGCCTCTTCCCTGTTCAGTACCACTACAATTGGAACAAAGGGTTTGCTCTTATGGTCTTCATCAATGGATTCATCCTCCCTCTTATCACCCTTACAATTGTCTATACTTCAATTTACAGAATCGTAAACTCGAGTGTGTTCCAAGGGATCCATAACAGAGGAACTCGAAGGTTTCAAGCGGAGAAAAAACTCGCTAAAACAATCATAACACTATGCTTATTATTTTTTATTACTTGGTGTCCATTTTTTATTGTATCACTTCTCGGTACATTCCGGCCTGAGCTACTATCTGCACCGTCGCCGATTTTCATTTGGTACATTACGGTGTTCGTCAAAGGAATGCATTATTCGAACAGCTCCCTTAACACATTTGTTTACGCATTCAGCAGCAACGAAATGAGAAAAACTTTCGTCTCACTTCTTAGATGTAAGAGAAATATTGTGTTCCCAACTCCAACCAAAAATAGACATAGAATTAAAAGAAGGGCTAAAGTATTCCACCTTCAAAACTCCGTTGATTCGGTTTAAAGACAACTTTTCTAATCTATAGAGGAGGGAACCAAAATTGGTGCGCTAAGGGAGTCGAAATCGAAGAGTCCGCTTTTTAGTTAAAACATCCTAAAAGCACGGAAGATAACCAACAAGCAATCCTAAGACTCACATGCGGCACCGGCCGAGATCAGAAATCGATCTACCGGCTCGCGTCGGTGAGATGCGAACGCTCTAGCCGCTACACAACACCCATGGTTTCTCTACTTAGTCTCGTAATAATTAATTTCTTGACTTACAAATTTCATACGAAAAGAAGTTGTTTTTATCAAAGATGACCATCAGGTTCATCAGAAACGACCGGAAGCAGGATCATGTGACTTACCAAATTTAAATCCGACATTAACTGAAATTGGAATGCTGGTTATCTATGCAAGCAACAGGAAGGCAATTTTAATTCAAAATGTAAGTGTTACATTTATACCTTAAAAATTTAACATTTGGTAATCATTAACATAGAAAGTATAATATATATACTATTATATAATATTTGAAATATAAATTGGGCACTAATTGGCTGAGTAACAAATTTATATCTGAGAACAGCCGAGACAAACTCGCGCAAAGTTGTTCAAAAATATTTTATGAAAGCAATATAAAACGGTTGCTTTATGTCATAAATCTCAAGTAGTAGTGTCCTCATCCCTTATGTCAACCAACTCTAGCATCAGTCATCCTACCTTCAAGTCACCCAATCTAGCAGAAGTTATATAGAAATTATATAATATAATTTATAATATAAGTTATATAGAAATTATATTATATAATTTATAATATAAGTTATATAGAAATTATATAATATTTGAAATATAAATTGGGCACTAATTGGCTGAGTAACAAATTTATATCTGAGAACAGCCGAGACAAACTCGCGCAAAGTTGTTCAAAAATATTTTATGAAAGCAATATAAAACGGTTGCTTTATGTCATAAATCTCAAGTAGTAGTGTCCTCATCCCTTATGCCAACCAACTCTAGCATCAGTCATCCTAGCTTCAAGTCACCCAATCTAGCAGAAGGATCATCCTACCTTGATCTCAACAAAACCTAGTTGTAGGGTTACCCTACCTTGATGTCAACCCACCCTAGCAGTAGGGCCATCCTACCTTCATGTCACCCAACCCTAAGAGTAGGGTCACTCTACTTTGATGTCACCCAACCCTAGGAGTAGAGTAACCCTACTTTGATGTCAACCAACCCTAGCAGTAGTGTCACCCTACATTCATGTCACCCAACCCTAGGAGTAGGGTCACTCTACCTTGATGTCACCCAACCCTAGGAGTAGAGTCACCCTACCTTGATGTCAAACAACCCTAGCAGTAGGGTCACCCTACATTCACGTCACCCAACCCTAGGAGTAGAGTCATCCTACCTTGATGTCACCCAACCCTAGGAGTAGGGTCACCCTACCTTGATGTCATGCATCTCTAGTAGTAGATAGGGTCACCCTACCTTCATGTCATGCATCTGTAGTAGTAGGGTCACCCTACCTTCATGTCATGCATCTCTAGTAGTAGATAGGGTCACCCTACCTTCATGTCATGCATCTCTAGTAGTAGGATCACCCTACCTTCATGTCATGCATCTCTAGTAGTAGGGTCACCCTACCTTCATGTCATGCATCTCTAGTAGTAGGGTCACCC